TTGCCAATATTACGAAACACGTTTTGTCTGATTATGATTATAGTTTTATAATTATAGTATGCTTGGACATAATATCAATTTAAAGTAAATCCACTGCATGAACAATGACTACTGTAAGTATAATTATTGATTGTACATCTTCATCTCAAACATTTTTTGTAGGTGCACACAGCTACAAGCCGTGTTACTGAGGCTCTTGAAAGTTGGCTGAGACTTGATAAGGGTACTTTACCACAGAGTATAATTAGAAATGCATATTTGCATTTCGAAGCTCTAAGCAACCACATCTATGACTTCACATGTGTGTTATGTGGCCACCATCCACCTGCTCTTGTACTTGATGCTAATAAGAAAGGAGCTTTTGATTTGTCAGGTATAGATACTGGTTATAACATTATATAGACTTGTCAAATATGAAACCACCAAATCCTTGCAGTCACTTGGTTGGCAGATGATGTGGAGGATGTTGAGTAGCAACAAGCTGTATGACTTTCTTAGCATTATTTGTCTTAAAATTAATATTATCATGACATGATTATAAATGAACAGTTCAATTATAATCATTATTTTAAGCATCCTTTATTTTTTTATCTCTGTATTGTTGTTATTTTTATCAGTATATTGTACAGCTAACTTTTTTTCATACAGTGAGTAACCTTGATGTGCCTGAAGATGGTTGTGATCAGGTTGACAGTGATGCCTTCTGGGAAAATGTAGGATTTGCTCTTGTAGTAAGAGGCTTCTTTCACACAGGTTGGTTTATAAAGAGTTTGCATATGTTGTTATTCATGTTTGAAAAAAAAATAATATCCAAAAGTAAAATTACTATGATGAACTTACTTCAGTTTATTTTGCAGCTATAAATGTGTCTATGATGTATATTGACAGAACTGAACAATCATTGCATATGAAATATACACCTATGACAAATTGCTTTGGGCACAGTACAATAATTGCAACACAGTATATAGTACACAAATGTAATGTTATCTTTCATTTCAGGTCAGTCAGATATTAACAACCCTTTTGATTCTGCTGTTATGCCCAACTACAAGTTCTGGTCACCATGGGTGGGAAAGAATTCACGAGCTAGCAATTTTCTTTACAACACTGAATACAAAAAGTGYTTCCATCAAAAGAATATTGCTGAAAAAGGAACATCTCTAATTTCATTAGATGAAGTTATGGATATACTTGATGAGGGTTCTGTAAGTTGCTACATACTATATGTCATAATTGCAATTTTATTTGTATGGTGTTCCAAAAATGATTGAAGCCAAAGTACATCACCATTCACTTCTGCTATCATTCAATCATGGACTGCCGAGCCAGATTTGATTGACACACTTTTTTAATATGCTGGTAATTCAGTGAATTGTATTTTGCAGGTTAAAGTGCTGAGGGAGTTATGCATAAAAATGAAGATTGGCTCCAAAGGTAGTAAGAAAGACCTCATAACAT